TTTGCACTGAACATTTTGAGATTCAGCTGTGGGGACAGTCTATGGTTCCTCCCCAGCTCCATATAGGTAGTCCTTGATTTACAGCCATCTGTTTAGTGGCTGTTCAAAGTTATACTGGCACTGGAAAAGGCAACTTACGATGGTTTTTCACACTTACGGCTGCATCTTTTTTTTTTTTTTTTTTGGCAGCATCTCCAGGATCATGTGACCAAAATTTGGGTTCTTAGCAACTGGCTCATATTTATGACGGTTGCCGTCTCCCAGTGTCACATGATCCCCTTTTGCGACCGTCTCACAAGCAAAGTCAACGGGGCAGCCGGATTCGCTTAACAACCATGTTACTAACTTAACAACCGCAGTGATTCACTTAACTGACAAGAAAGGTCGTAAAATGGGGCCAAACTCACTTAACAACTGTCTCGCTTAGCCAAAATATATCAAAAGGGCTTTTTTGGGGGGTATGGGAAGGTACATATCTTTCTATCCTTACAGGTTTGTATCATACAGGCAGTCCTCGACTTAATGGCCACAACGGAACCCAAAATTTCCACTGCTAAAAACATGGCAGCTGTTAAGTGAGTTTGGCCCCATTTTGCGACTTTTTGCCACCGTTGTTACGTGAATTGTGCAGTTGTTAAACGAATCTGGCTTCCCCCATTGACTTTGCTTGTCGGAGGCTGGCTGGAATGGTGATCCTGGGAGGCCGCAGCCATCAAATACATGCCAGCTGCTAGGTGTCTGAATTTTGATCAAGTGATCTTGGGGATGCTACAACAGTTGTAAGTGTGAAAACCGGTCTTAAGTCACTTTTTTCAGTGTCGGTGTGACTTCAAATGGTCACTAAACGAATGGTTGTAAGTCAAGGATTACCTGTACCAGTTTGTTGTGGCCCGTCAGCGGCCTGTGCAATTAGTAGCTGATTCCAACAGCGAGGAGGCTGGTGTGGTGCTGCTCCAGCAGCCTGTGCAGCTGGCGCTTGAGTCAGACAATGAGGAGGCTGGAGAAGATGTGGTGCCAGAGGCGGGGATTCAGCCAGGGCCTTCAGAACTTCCAGAAGCTCCCATAAGTGAAGAGGAAGAAGATGTGCGCCGAGCTATTAAAAGGCAGGAGTGGCTCCTCAGGAGGAGGTCTCCTCGAGAGTAAGTCTTGGGGCTAATTGGCCACTCCCCTAGCCTATTTAAGGAAGGACAACGACTGATGCAATTTGCAGGAAACAACTTCATTCATATTCCTTTGCGTCTTGATTCCAGAAACGTTTGATTCGGCTCTTGTTTATCTCTTGTCAGTTTTCCTGCAAATTGCTTCTGGGTATTCTGCCAACCATAGTAAGAATACGGTTATCTGAAATATTGTGCCTCAGAGTTGAATTATTATTCTTTGGATTCTTGTCGGCTGTTAATGAAGTTAAATGAACAGCCCTTGTTCAGAAAAGACTGGTTTGAACTGTACTTGTGTTCGAACAATTACTAAGAAAGCTCATTAGTAGTCCTTAATTAGTAAACGAAGGTTTGTACGGACTTTGTGTGTGCTGCGTTCTTTGGGGTCCGTAGCTGAGGCAGAACACAGTTCCTCCCAATGCCTCAGCCCATTAGCTGCCCGTTTTACACTGCTGCCCTTCGGATCTTGCCTTACTTGCTCTCCCCATCTGCCTTTTTCCTCTCTCAGTGGTTCATGTGGGTGCCTGGAGTCTGTACTATACAGGTAGTCCTCGACTTATGACCACAGTTGAGCCCAAAATATATGTTGCTAAGTGAAAAATTTGTTAAGTGAGTTCTGCCCCATTTTACAGCCTTTCCTGCCACAGTTGTTAAGTGAATCACTGCAGTGGTTAAGTTAGTTGCACGGTTGTTAAGTGAATCCGGCTTCCCTATTGACTTTGCTCGTCACAAGGTCACAAAAGGGGATTATGTGACCCTAGGACACGGCGACCGTCATAAATGCGAACCAGTTGCTAAGCATCCAAATTTTGATCATGTGATCATGTCATTTGATGCTTTAACAGTCATCAGTCGCTTTTTTTCAGTGCTGTTGTAAGCTCAGACGGTCACTAAACCAACTGTTGTAAGTCGAGAACTACCTGTAATGATTCAATTTGATCCGTGTTTTCAATCAACTGAGCAGGGCAATAAATTTAAGATTATAGTCGAAAGCGTCAGTCGTTTTATTCCTAGGGCTAATAGCCAGGAAATGGAAACATGAAAGAAAAATGCTTAGCTCAGACTTTCTCTTTGGAACCGAGGTGGTTTCCGTTATGAAATCAGCGCATTTTGGAGAAGATGCTGAGTTTTTAGCCAGCGTAATGGCACAGATTTCATCCAGCCCGAATTGAAAATTGGGTGGCACAGATGGCATCCAGGGGGTTTGCCTTCTAGGGGCAAAGCTCCCCCCCTCCTCCACTCAGGTTATTAGCAGCTGTCTTGTCTATAATAAACCAACATAGTAAGCAAAAATCTGAAGGAGTTGAAGAGACGGCTTGAACACAGACAGAGAAGGCCGAGTGCCAAATCCGCTCCTATGTAGGTTAAAGCTTGTTGAAACTTTCTTTCCTGCACAAGTTTTATCCTTAAATGAACACCTTTCAGAGATTTTCCAAGCACCCCGTCACTATTTATAGTCAAATCAGAAGAAAAATATAGTTGAATGCAGGGTGGATAAAAATCAATGATTTTTTTAAAAAAATCAAAAAAATCAGATTTTTTTGATTTAAATCGGATTTTTTTTGATTATCAAATTTAAATTTTAATAAAATGCTTTTGAAGTAAAAATCTATCTAAAGATACTCTTCTATTTAAGATACATTAATAATTTAGTTTATTCAGCATGAAACGGAGCTAAGTTATGTAGCATTAGGCTGTATATTCTGTAATATTGGGACTGTTGGCGAATCAACAGCAGGTCAGAGGAAGAGCTGCTGCAGGACAGAGATGATGGTTCTTTAAAAATTATGATTTAAATCGAGTTGATTTAAATCAAGCCTTTTTACTAGTGATTTAAATCATGATTTAAATCGTGATTTAAATCGACTTGATTTAAATCAAATCCACCCTGGTTGAATGTCCACTTACTTGCTGTGGCCAGTGATCTTTTGGGATAAGTTTCATGAGGATCTGAATTCTGTTGTTAATCCGAACCACTTGGCGGCAGGCCCAATTCCCAACGCATTGAAACCAATTCAGTGCATTCAGTTATTAGGCAAGAGGCTGTAGACAAAGTCATTTGTCCAACAACATGTGCTGTTTCCCCTACCCTTTTGTGGAGTTAATCAAACTTGATAAATTCCCTGAGATACATGATGGTTAAACTTGAGCATCCTTTTGCACTGCCCTTTCAATCAATCAGAATAGAACTGGAAGCGACCTTGGAGCTCTTCTAATCGAACCCCCTGCTCAACCAGGAGATCCTATGCCATTTCAAACAAGTGGCCATCCAGTCTCTTTTTAAAAGCCTCCAGTGATGGAGCACACATAACTTCTGGAGGCAAGTTGTTCCACTGGTTAATTGTCCTCTCTGTCAGGAAATTTCTCCTTGGGTCTAGATTGCTTCTCTCCTTGACTACTTTCCATCCACTGTGTCCTGTCCTGCCTTTAGGTGCTTTGGAGCAGCGGTCACCAACTGGTGGTCCGTGGACCACTGCTGGTCCGCATGACAATTTTGATGGTCCGCAGAAAAATTATTTGCATTTTTTATATTGCACTAAATCAGGGGTCCTCAATCTATGGCCTCTGGGCCGGATACGTGCAATGAACGTTTGTGTTGCTGCAGAGAGTCTCCCCCTTCTGGGTCTTTTTGTGCGGGTCGGAGGGGGGCAGAAATTTCGACTTGGGGTCTGCTTTGGCCTCCTCATGTGGGGCTTTAGGCAAAGGCTGGAAGAAAGTGCCGCTGGTGGCAAAGAGCCGGAGGGCCTCGTTCCAGTGGGACTGCCTCAGGGCCTGGAACTGGCTGACCATCTCATCCCGCTGAGCCTCCAGGCACCTGCCTTGCACTCCCACAGGTTTTCCCTTTGCTTGGAAAGCCTATGCTCTTAGTCCTCAGTGAGGTGCTTCCGCTGAGCCTCCTTCTCAGTCAGATTCAATTTGAAGTGGGCCAGCTATTTTTCCAGCTCTTTCCCATGGTGGCTGCTTAGCTCCAACAACTGCTTCCTGTTGGGGCCCTAAGGAGCCTGGCTGGGCAGGGAAGGAGTGGCTGGGAGGGGAGGGGTGAGTAGAGGCCGGTGAGGCGGCCCTAGATGCGAGTGACTTCGAATTGATCGCGCCCACCCAGTCACATGACCACCTAGCCACGCCCACCCAGCTGGCCATTAGGCAGATCATATTAGTGGTCCACGGGATTTTAAATTATGAATTTAGTGGTCCCTGAGGTCCGAAAGGTTGGTGACCTCTGATTTGGAGAATAGCCCCCCTCTTTGTGGCTGCCCCTCAAATACTGGAATACTGCTATCAGGTCACCCCTAGTCCTTCTTTGTATTGGTTACTGATATACTAATTTTTTCCCAGCCCCTTGTACACTGGTGTTTTCTCCAATAGCAAGCAGCAACTTACAAGGTTTTTAACTTGTTCATTTATTAAACTATCTCTACCCTCAATTTATCTGTAAATCTCAAAGCAGGCTTCCAAAGTCTATAAAACGGTAAGCCACAGAATAATACAATAAACCAAGCAATTAAATTAACATTTTTTGGGGAAAGTAGGTTTTTGATTTTCTAAGTGGCTGTCTTAAGCCCTACATTAGGGCTTCACTATAGTTTTCCTTTATTTTCCACCTTTAGATGAAGGGTGTTGTGGCTCCGTTGTCTGAGCCTGGGCTATTGACAAAGGGAACCATCTGGTATGTTTTAATAGTTGGGGACTCTCAGAAGTGCAAAAGGGGGAAACATGCAGGACTCTTGAGATTGTTCATTCTTCCCTACATTGTGAGCCCATCTTGACTTGAGATCTCTTTCTGTGACAACAGAATGATGTCACAAATTCAGAGCTAGGGGTGAGTTAAAGTCTGACCACAGTAGGCTTGGAAGAAGAATAGAAGGAGAAGATAAATATTGCTAGTTTTCAGTCTTGCCACTGAAGAAAATGTGGCACGGAGTGGCCAAGGTAAGGTCATAGGATGTTGGAGTCTGTTAAGCAGCTACATCTGGAGTTTTGAGGATTTTAAAGGATGCTTTCCTGTACACTATTGATCTGTGGTAGTGGCTGTTGGGATCCTGAATGTGATAAATTATTAAAATTGTAATCCAAGTCCGGGATATTTCGGATTGTTCTCTTTAAGTTTCAGCTCTGTTGCAGGTGGGTTTTAAAGAGTAACAACTAAGTTGTGTTGAGGAATTCTTGAAGCTGGTTAGGTTTGGATTTTCCCCGTCTATGGTATGAACAGTGACTGCGTTCACCTGAAACTAGATTTTTTAAAATTTCAACTGTATCCTGCTTTCTTCTACGGCTACAATTTACGGAGTTAGGGTTATTGATTGATGGCTGATAGTAACCCCTGCAAATTTGGGTACCACATATCATACTCATAAAGGTATTACACCAATTAATTATAATCTCTGGTGGGCAAAAGTTTCTCAGACAAGACATTTTAACACTAGTGGCAGTTTGAAAAGGAATAACAGATTATTTGTGCAATCACGGACAATAGTTCCGATGTGAGGGAATAAATACTGTATTACCCAGCCCAGATCATAGTGTAGCTTCTCTTTCAGTGGCTTAAAAGGTAATTGTCTATCCTTTTTTGACAGTAAATTGTGCATTTTAGGAAAAACGTTTCTGAAATAGTATTCTCATTATTCCTGTCGCCCATCTCCTCCCGCTTGTGACTGCATGACTGTAACTTTGTTGGTTATATCCTTGCAATTTATATTGATATTGTTTCCTAGTATGATTTGATTGCTTATTGTACCGTCTGACATTCACTGGGTGTTGTGCCTTGTGATTCTTGACGAGTGTATTTTGTCTTTTTATGTACACCGAGAGCGTATGCACCAAAGACAAATTCCTTGTGTGTCCAATCACACTTGGCCAATAAAGAATTCAATTCAATTCAATTCAATTCAATTCAATTCAATTCAATTCAATTCAATTCAATTCTATTCTATTCTATTCTATTCTATTCTATTCTATTCTATTCTATTCGACAGTGTTGAGATACAAGCGGGTGGGCTGCTGGGGGTTCGCAGGGGTTCGGGAGAACCTCTAGCTAAGATTCTGTGCAGTTCGGAGAACCCCCAAATCCCACTCTTGGCTGGCCCCGCCTGCCCCTCCTCTCCCAGGAGTCCCCACGGGGTCTGTTTTGGATGCAGGTAAGTGCAGGGCACGTGTGGAGGCTCGGGGAGGGCGAAAAATGGACCTACTGGACGTTCGGCCTCCGGAGCCTGGGAGGCCATTTTCACCCTTTCAGAGGCTCAAGGAAAGCCTCCGGAGCCCGGGGAGGGCAAAAATGCCCCCCCCCACCATGATGAAGGAGGCCGACTAGGCCACGCCCACCATGGCCACGCCCACCCAGCAGAGAACCCCTTGCTAAAATTTTTGAAGCCCTTCTCTGGATACAAAATCAAATATAGTGAGAAAACTCATTTTACAATGGGATCTCTACAAAAGGAAAAATCCTTTTTCCTTGAATTATAATTAACCATTGTTGTAAGTGTACAGATGATTACATGCTTCCAATTCTGCTTAATGATGAATGAGGCAATGTGTGTTTAAAACTTAATATTAACTTTATTTTATTAGTTGGTTTACAAGAATACCTTGATTTAGAGCAAGGATTGTAAATTAAAGCTGCTGCCATTGTGCCAGGAAACTGCCCGAGGCTGCTAATAATCAATGCCAGGAATTTCTCAGCTGCTGCAAATGAAAATTTATCGTGTTAAATTTGGAAAAACGTCAAGGACTTTTCTGTTTTCTGCTTAGCAGATTCTGGTAATATAGGTAGTCCTCCACTTATGACCATCATTGAGCCCCAAATTTCTGTGGCTAAACGAGACATACGTTAAGTGAGTTTTGCCTCATTTTATGACTTTTCTTGCCACTGTTAAGTGAATCTGGCTTTCCCGTGGACTTCGCTTAGCAGAAGTCACAAAAGGGGATCACATGACCCCAGGATGCCACAAGTGTCATAAATATGAATCCGTTGCCAAGCGCCTGAAGTTTGATCACGTGACCTTGGGAAGGCTGCAATAGTTGTAAGTATGAAAAATGGTCTTAAGTCACTTTTTTCAGTGCCGTTGTAACTTCGAATGGTCCCTAAATGAGCTGTTGTAATTCGAGGACTACCTATAATAGTTCAGGACTTCATTTGGTGCATGATACTTGAAGGCATAACCTTCCCATTATAGAGCTTCCAGAAAGGTGAGGGGCACCTTATTTGAACAGGGCCTTCTTGGTTGTGGCACCCAGGCTTTGGAAGGCTGTTGCTTTGGAGGCCAAACTGATCTCCGGAACCGCGGCGAGCTATTGACTGAAGCCGTGGGCAGAGGCCCAAGCCGCCTCGGAAGCTGGCGGCTTTGACAGTCACACTGAGCTAGTCTGCGCAATCAGTAGCAATAATTAAGGAAAATAAAACAAAGGAAACCTGATCCAATGACCAGTTGGAAGGTCCAGAAGTGAAATAACAGGAGCAACTGCGAATGGGTGTCTCTGTCAGAAGACTGAGTCGAGAACTGAGCCCAATGGACACAAGAGGGGCGTGGCCTGAAAAGTTACAACTCAGTCTCTGGGCCGATTGCACTGTATCAAACTGGGTCCTCAATTTACCTACCTTAGAAAGGATGGAAGGCTGAGTCAACCTTGAGCCTGGTGAGATTCGAACTTACAGTAATTGCAGACAGCTGGTGTTAATCACAATGCTATCAGTCTGCTGAGCCACCAGGCCCTTCCGTTCAATACCAGGAAAAGGTTGGCTTGAGCCACCAGTATCAACCATTAGTATCACATCCCGCTCCGACGTTCTTTTTTTGTTCTTTTTTTGTTACCTATTCCATGCAAATTAAGTGTAACTTGTTTATAATGGTGTGTTTCTAAGGTCTGTGCTTTTAACTAATTCACTGTTTATGTTATGGGCTTTCCCTGTTTTATCCCGTAAATGCGAGACTCTGAATAATGTGTGGTCAAAAAAATATTTACATAGATAGAAATAAACCCATGGTTTAAGTAAACACATGGTTTAAGTAAAGGTCTTGTGAGCGCTTACCTTTCTCTTTCACAGTTTATTCGCCTGAAGGAGGTTTTTCAAAGGTTGCAATATTAGAGGGAGGGACTAGTGCTTAACAGATGAATTTATTTAAGTGATTGCTTCTTAGTTGAATAATATTTATTGATCTCTGGTAAATTTTAAATTAGAATTGCAGAAAAAACAATTGTTACCAACCTGCCTTCCATTGAGGACCCGCATACAGAACGAGCCAGAAAGAGGGCTGTGTAAATATCTACAGACCCTTTGCATCCTGGACATAAACTGTTTCAACTTCTACCCTCAAAATGACACTATAGGACACTGCATATCAGAACAACTACACACAAGGACAGTTTTTTTCCCATGCCATCACTAATTCCCACAACACTGTCAAAACTATCTAGAAAGGCAGTATTTTACCATCATTATTCTCATCTTCCCTGTTACCTATCACCTTATCTTCTTATGACTATAATTTTGTTGCTTGTATCTTACGATTTAAATTGCTTAATTAGCATCCTGGTATGATTTATGTTGATTGCTCATTAGTATCCAGGACTATCACTTAAGTGTTGTATCTAATGTTTTATGATGAATGTATTTTTGCAACGACTATGATAATGATCTATCTCTATTGTTGTATGTAGACTGAGAGCTTATGCACCGGAGACAAATTCCTTGTGTGTCTATTCACACTTGCCCAATAAAGGATGTTAAATAGTCGTCTCTGAAGCTGGGGTTTTGTCAGCTTGTCAAGTCACAAATTCCTTCATCGCAAAGTGGGTTCTACTGATAGCATGAGGTTGCATACAGGAAGGCCTCAATTTACAACCATTTGTTTAATGACCATTTGAAGTTACCACTGTACTGAAAATTGTGATTTATTTTTATTTATTTGATTTTATTTATTTGATTTTTATACCACCCGTCTCCAACAGGACTCAGGGTGGTGAACAGCCGAGATAAAACATAGCATATAAAATTTAAAAACAGTTTAAAAGATATTAAATAATTTCGGCCCACAATTTAAAACAACTCAGTTAAAACCAATTTCAAATTAGAACCGAAAGGATGGGATCAAGCCAGCCCGGCTAGATGAAATAAATGAGTTTTCAGGGCCCAACGAAAAATCCGGAGGTCTGGTATCGTGCGTATCTCTGAGGGTAGGTCGTTCCAGAGGGCAGGTGCCGCCACAGAGAAGGCTCTCCCCCTGGGGGTTGCCAGCCGGCACTGTCTGGCCGACGACACCCTGAGGAGGCCCTCTCTGTGCGAGCGTACTGGCCGGTGGGAGGCTATTGGCGGCAGAATGACCGGTTATGACCGGTCTTCGCACTTAACAATTGTGCAACTAAACTGTTGCAGCATCCCAATGATCACATGATCAAAATTTGGGCACATGGCAAACCAAGATGTATGTACAATGATTACAGCATCCTAGGGTCGCGTAATGGCCATTCTCCAACCTTCCCAGCTGACTTCTGACAAGCAAAGTCAGTATGATTCACTTAACAACTGCAGTGATTTGCTTAGCAACCATGGCAAAAAGGTTGTAAAATGAGGCACAACTTACTTAACTACCTCCTTGCTTAGTAGTGGAAATTCTGCTCCCTCAATTTTGGTTGTAAGCCGAAGACTTTGAATGGGATTTTGTTTCTGCCCTTGTTAGTAATACGGCTTTCTCCTTCTCAAAAGCTTCCTTGTATCCCTCTTGTCATTTAAACTGGGTTCACACAGCATGCTAGATTATCTGGTAAGAGTATATACAGGTAGTCCTCAACGTACGACCACAACTGAGCCCAAAATTTATGTTGTTAAGGGAGAAATTTGTTAAGTGAGTTTGCCCCATATTACAACTTAAGTGAATCACTACAGTTGTTAAATTAGTAACACAATTGTTAAACATTTCCATTGCTAAGCAAGATAG